CTAATACAATGTTTACAGATATTTATAATACAAATGCTACATACTTATGAGTGTTAACATTGAAACTTACAATCTGAAGAACAACCATCATTACTTATACTATTTCCATCATCACACTATTCATTTAAATCTATATCAGGAGCTGAAACAATTATACCATCTCCACATATATTTTTACAAAAATTTGATTCCATAGTTAAACCCTCCCTGCATTAAAGACATTAACCTTCTTCTAAATTACACTTTAAGCAATCTGGATAACAATAAAATTAACAATCTTTACAAATCTAATTAGTTGATGAAACAGCATCATCAAATTTTTCTTATCCTACAACTTTCCCATCTCTGCATTGTTCTTTACATAATTATTTTTCCTATTGAATTTCCAAATACCAACCTTGAGTTTCACATCCATAGCATACTCCTCTTATACATTTTGTACATTCAGCTTAGCACACTATTTTACAATCAAGACATTTATTATTATTTGTTGCGGTATCAATATAATCACACTCTTCATTCTAACTAATTATACCATCTCCACAAAAACAATTACTATAATTTGAATTACATGGATCACATTGATTATTCGATTTGCATGGCAATAATTGTTAAAGACCTAATGAATAATAATTTCCTTCAAGTATTATGCAAATAGAATTATTGATATTGAGTATGAATCCAGTATAGCACTCCAAGCAATCAAGTGATGAGATGCATTTCTAACAAAATTAAGTGCAACTAAAACAGCTTTAATTATCCTCATAATAGCCTTATTAGCAAATGCATTTATTATTTAATAATACTCTAAAATTTCCAGAATTACATTAAGTAAAAATTTAATCATTAATGCATTTCTAACAATTATCAGAGCATTATCTACAAATTTATTGATTTTTATCAAAATATTGATTAGAGGAACATACACACCCTAAATTTGAATAAGTAAAACTACTCTTACAAGTTAAGCAATTTTGCAATGATGTACAAGTTTGGCAATAAATAGGACAACTAACACATTTATTTAGCATCCAATCATAGAATTGATTAAAATCAAAGCATGTTGTAATTAAAGTTGGAATAGGATTTTAGCAATCTGTTTCATTTTTACAAGTAAGGTAATCTGGCCTACAATTATGAATAGTAAGATAAAACTAATAAAATCTACAATAGGCATAGATAGGCTCATTATTTGAACCTTTACATTCCCATTCAATTTTCAAAGTAGGTGAAGAGTGTTAGAGCAATGAAAAAAATTTTTGCTTATTTTTCGGGATAAATTCATTTATCAAAACATCATCAATATATAAAAGAAATCTTCCATCTGTTTGAAATGAAGTTCCAAATATAACATTAAAAGCTATATTAAAACTGTGATGAGGATCAAGATTATTAAATTATCGAGAAAATCTAGCCTAAGCCCAAATAAAAGGCCCTCCAAATATTAGTTATTCATTTTACCATATTGAAAATAAATATTAGAACTTTTGAGGAAATTTGGACCTGTTTAACTGATCAAGTTGTACTAAGAATATGTTTCTGGATTAACATCTAACCCTGCAAACTCTTTTACAAGTAATTTGGAATCTAAAATCTTAACAATATATTTTAATACATTTTGTGCATCAGAGTTATCATAATCCTAACAATAGGTAGAATTTATTTATTTTTAACTATCACTTGTGCATTTACTACATTAATACCATTTAGTAAGGTAATAATTTTAGTTGCAGCTTGAACACTTGAATCTCTCAGTGCATGTATTACATTAAGAAGGGCAATATTCTGATGAAATTTCAATGCTTTTGATTGCCCAGCCGGCATTTGATTAGCTAAAATTTATTTATATATTACGTAAAATTTCCTATTAATTTAAGAGTAAAATAATTGGATAAGTTAGTTTGCAAATAAATGTCATATTAATAATTATTTCGATAAACATCTGTGCTTTTATTGTAATCTGGCTTTGAAAACTTCTAATTAACTATAAAGTTATGTGTTTGTATGATTGAATTATTTGTAAAAACTCTTGCATAATAAGTGTCATTAATTAATAATTCGATACTACTATTAGTAGGCATATCATTAAACAGAATTAATTATAAAAAAATTAAGGTTAAATTATGAGGATTAGTAATATTTAAGATTCTATAAATTCCCTAATTCATTTTAAATATTCCAAAAATTAATTAAGTATAAAAATTCAAATTTTCAGGAGTTGAGAGATTTAAATAATTAAAATCATATATCATTTACCAATTATATTGTTCAGTAGTTTTAGGTTCTTACATCATCAAAAATATAAAAGTATTCCCTAGTTTATAAAAGTCAATTTTACTTGAATATTATCACAGTAACCATTGATATACAATAATTAGTCTATGGGACATAATTATTTGAATCCTTGTTATTTTACAAAAAATGGAGTTTCGGCTGGACATTGATTTATGCAAGTATTTTCTATTTTAACAGTACCTTCATAACATTAAGAGCATTAATTGGGGGAACTTCCCCAACATTTTTTACAACTTGGATGACAAATAAGACCAGAATAGATGAAATTCTTAATTGATACATTACCACTTTAGGTAAATACATTAAACTAATGATATCCTTTAATTGATATTTAATTGATTGTAAAATTGACAGTCAATATAAATGCTGACTTATTATCACAAAACCCATTTGTAATGATATCCTTTTAGAAAGAGTTATTATAAATCCAATTATAATTTTAATTATTAATTGAATAAGTCAAATTGTCTAATTCATTCCATGTTCCAAAAAATATTAGATCAAATGTTATGAAAAACATTTAATAGTATGATTCAAAATATTTATAATATTCAGCTTATGATGAGGCATTATTTAGAGTGATGTAGCTTCCTTCTTTTACACAATTTAAAAAGTTTGCAGTTGTTATGATGTCATTTTACTTTTACACAAACCCCCCTGAATACTTATGGCAATTTTCTTCTTAGGAAAAAGAAAATTATTTATTTTAAGTTAGATATGCACCAGTAGATATCCATTGACAATTTTTCTGTAAAGCAATTAAAAGAATCATACAAAATGATAAAATCATTATTTAAATACTAAACTAGATTGTTTTACTTATTTGATTAATAAAACTCATGACATCATCTAAGTATTATTAATAATTAATAATGTAGAATTTTGGCATATTTTTATCAATGATATAAATTGCTATTAATTAGCATCAATAAAATTAACTTATAATATATATATTTCATGTTTAACTTGGTTATATAAAGTTAACTATCAATAAAGAAGTCAGTGTGAAATCAAAATATATTAGACTTTATTTTAGAATTAAAAATAAGTAAACATGAATAATTTCTTATATTTAGTTTTTTGTAAGTAAGCTTTAAAAAGGTATGAAAATAATAGAAATTTACCAAATGTTATTAATTGACTTCAATTCAACCATTAATCCAATAAATAAATATTGATATTATCTATTCAAGATATTTTTGAACTGATATTTCTGGATTAGTTTTTTGCATATGTTAATTTTTGTATAATATAATTTAACCTCATCATTTTTTTCCTTATCAGATTTATCAAGCTCTCTGATAACATCATTTTACAATAAACTATATATAAATCAATTTATTCTATATTTTAGATATTCTCCAAATCCATTTTTTCTGAGCTTTTTGAACTAGTTTAAGTTTATATTTTTCTTTCCAATAGATTTAGATACAATTTAAGTCGATTACAACCATATGTTGTTTTTGTAGAAAATTTACATGTGATTTTGATGATAAATCATTTCTTTGAAAAATTACTAGTATTTTATGAAAAAAGAATTAGGTATAGAGATTTTCTATAGTTTAAAATATCATGTGTACTATTATCATTTAATTTATGGATGGTTAATTTATTTATACAGTCCATAAAAATTTATTCATCTTTCTATTTATATAATTAATATGGTTAAAAGTTGATAGAAAACAATTGAAGAACATGATTATTTCAGGATTTAATATTTAGGATGATTGCAAGAAAAATTTTGTTATTCTATATATAATTGTTGAGTCATTTATTCCTTGTTAAAAGGAGAAGAAGTTTAACTACAAAAAAAATAAGAAATCATAACAATAGAAGCTAATTCTCTTTAACAACAAAAAAAAGACTTTTAACTTTTAAATTCCAACTGACAAATACTAATTTTGGACAAGATGTTTAATTTAGAATCATTTATTAGTTATATATATATATAAATATAATTTAATATAAATGAAAGCAATTCTAATAATTATTCTAAAGTTTTTATCTTCCTTAGTTAAAAGTTTTCAATTCCCTTTTTTAAACTAAAATAATATCAAACAAAATTCAGTTTTTCAAAAAAAAGGAATACATGAAATATTTAGTTAATATCAAAATAATATATTTTTTTCAAAGTGAATATGTTTTATTTGATCGTAAATATTGGTTTTAATGTTGAAGTAATTAGAAATAAGTAAGGGAATTTATATGTTAAATCTCTTTCAACAAGTAAGAATATATATGAAACCTTAAAAATAATAAAGTAAAATTTATCTTAGCAATAAGACGTGATTGTGAAATCTGTTTAAGCTATTTATTTTATATTTTATCACCAAAGAAGTTAAATCACTATTAGAATACATTCTTTAATTCAATTTTTTGAGCTTTAAATAAATTGCTATTTAACTCGTTTTGATTATATAGAATAAGATAATTAAAATGATTTGAAATTTAGCTATCTCAATGGTCATTTCCATAATACTAAATGTAAATGAGATGTGTCATTGTTCTCAACTTATTGATGAAAATGATTGTACTAAATCTGCTCTTCAGTGTAGTTGGGATTTTTGTTCCTAAAAATGCTAAAAAAATCATGTTTAGAGATCACATATTCTACCTCTTGCTTATAGTAATTATCGAGATGTTTTTAGGTTAATGGTATATGCCAAGGCTTTACCGATTGCTAGATCCTTAAAGGATCATCTTAATCTAGTTGCATCAATTAAAAAATTTATTGTTCGGCTTCAAAAGGCACCGATTGTTAATCTATAGATAATTTCTAAAATTGTACATCCATTACTACTACAGATAATTGTAACAATTACTATTCAGCTGAAGGATTATGTATCTGAAATGGGCAAAAATGCATTGAACCTACATCTTGTTCTCAATTATCTAATAGTATATATCCTTTTTGTAATTTGAATGAATGCGCTAATAACAAAGACACTTATTAATGTCTGCCAAGAACATGTTAAGAATATTAAGATGAAATTAAATGTTCATAAGGATTACTAATATTTGGTCCTTATTGATACTTAATTTAAAATTTAATATTAAATCCAATTAAATTAGCTATAAATAATGTTATAGGTTGTTTTTGGAATATTAATCAAAATCTTGTCAAGAATATGATCCTTTATCAATGAATGATTAGAACTGTTATAATTCTAGTTTTGGAACCTTCCATTGGAAGAAAGAAGAAGGGGAGTGTATTTCTTGTTATTAATAATTGTTGATTCTATCGATTATTATAATAATGCTAATTTGAATGATATTATTATTAAGTAATGAAAAAGATTGAATTACAGTTACACTATTTTTATTTGTGTCAATTCAAATAAATTGAGAAATAAATTATCTAAAATTTTGATAAAAATTTATTAATATTCTAAATTAATTACTCATCAAAAGGAGTTTTTAATTAGAGAAGAGTTTTTGCACATATTTCTATTAGTATTTCCATATTTGAATGAATTTGGAATTTGTTATGCATATCTTGAGGAAGTCCTTTGCTCTAACTAATTTTTAATTATCGTATATAATTTAATCATATAATTGGAAAGGTAATCCTCATATTTTTCAAACATAAACCTCTGATAGTTTGATATTATAAGAAATTGAAATATTAAATTTTTATTAATTGATTAATCAATAAAATTAAGTAATCAATCAATTAAAATTGATATTAATGATATTTCAATATTTATTGAAACAAAATTTAATTAATCCTTGTTTATGAATAAATTAAACATATAAAAATTATAAATTAATAATGAGTTATATTAATTTATTATTGAATTGAATGTTTATAGTTAAAAGATTAATACTATTTTTGATATAAATATTGTTTTTATTTTCAGGTATTTATAATTATTAAATATCAGCCCTAAATAAAAAAAAATCAAATCAGCTATTTGTAAAAGTTCTGGTGAGCATATTCAATTAACTTTTTTGTATAGATACATAGAATAAAATGTTGAAAAAAAGAGTAGACATCAATAAAAAAACATGTTTAGGTGATCAATACTTTTATAAATTTAAGTAAATACTTGTTATAAATTTTTAGATAATATTGAAGGATATAATAAAAATTGATAGTTGCTTTTGATTTTACAACTTCAAATGGTAATCCAATTTATTTAAGATGGCACATCAAGCCAATATATGAAAGAAATTATTAGTGTTTATAAAATTCTCATAAATAATGATCATGAAAAAAAGATATTCATATGTTGATTGTTTTTAGGTGCAAACAAAGAATTAGTAAAACTCATAATTATTCTCAATAAATGATTTCGTTTAAACAATATAATTTCAATCTATATATTGTAATAATCTTTAAGAGGTAATAATACCTAAATACTTCAAATAATAGGAGTAGACAGTCTTTCTAAATCTAAGTAAGTTTTCAAATAGTCTCGATCAGTTAACTAATATTTTATCCATTTTTAGTTCCATAAGCCACATGTTAAACCCAAACCTTCTCAATACTCAATATGAAAATAATCGATCTGTTCATAATTTTGCGATTGAAAATATTATTAGTTTTTTACAAACAAACATAACAATTCAAAAATTAAAAAGAGACTTCTTAAGCAATATCCTCTTAAAGAATTAAATTGAGATTTACTTAAAAAAATTTTAATTTTAATTTGATTTTACCTTTAATACATGCTTTTTCATCTTTTGTCATTTCCAATAGGTTTTTTCAATAAATTATTTGTAAATGAAAAAAATTGATGAATTTTTGATATAAAATTAATCCTCAGACAACATTTTCAATTAGTGATTATTCCTTTGTATATTTTCTAATCAGAATCAGTTTATCAGAATCACTCCTAATTATAGTCGCATAATTTAAGCTATTCTAACTAATTCTAATGTAATTAATTTATCTATTAATATATATTCTACTATTCATATATATCTTATTATCAAAATTATTAAAAAAATTTAACTTAAAAATTAATTAAAATAGCAACAACCATGTTTAAACAAAAGAAGCCAACTTAAAA